GAAAAATGAGTGGGTGTTAGCAAGGAAAATGAGGAGGAAAAAGGCCTCACAGGCCGAGGGGAAAGCCCATGCCAAGTCCAAGAAAGAAAAATAGTGAATACAAGAAATTCTCAGTAAAAAAATGTAGAAAAAATCTTTTGTTAAAAAAAATTTAAGGGGTGCCTGGGTGGCTCAGTCAGTTAAGCGTCTGCCTTCAGCTCAGGTCATGATCTCAGCATCCTGCGATCGAGTCCCACATTGGGCTCCCTGCTCAGTGGAGAGCCTGCTTCTCCTCCCTCTGCTTCTATGCCCACTTGTGTTCTCTCTCTCACTCTCTCTATCTCAGGTAAATAAATAAAATCTTAAAAAAAAAAAAATTTAAGGGGTGCCTGGGTGGCTCAGTCGGTTGAGCGTCCGACTCTTGATTTCGGCTCAGGTCATGATCTCAGGGTCTTGAGATCCACGGGGGTGTCTCCTTGAGGATTCTCTCTTCCTGTCCCTCTGCCCCTCTTCCCTGCTCTCTCTCTCTCTCAAAATGAATACATCTTTAAAAAAATTTAAGGATTTTTTTCGGTGCTGCACTGGACTAAAGCCGGGGATACACAGAAGATGAGGTTCCCGCTGTTGTGGAATTACCAAGCTACAGGAAGAGACAGAGGAGAGGAAAATGTGCTAAATGCTCCTTAAGGAGGGACCAGCAGGAGGGATTGGGGGAGGCTTCCCTGAGACCTGAAGGATGAGAAGCCAGGAAGTGGGAGGGGAGTGGGGGGACCACAAGCCCAAGGGGCTGCTTTGTTCAGAAGCCACCGCCAGGCTGGTGAGGTCCCAGGGGGTGGGCCCCCCCCCAGCCTGGTAGCCTTGGCATGGGGTAGGAGTGGGGGGCCGGTGCAGCACATCATTCCCTGGGTGTGGGGGTGAGGAATAGGCTCTAGGGGACCCACACAGTCTTGGCCCTGGAGAAAGTCACCAGCAGTGGAAGGAGGAGGAGGAGATCTGGTTCATTCCCCTGGCTTGGCTGCTAACCAGCTGCATCTGACAGTGGGTGAACCATTCCCCTCCTGGGTCTCAGCCTCCTCACATCTAAGGTGAAGGCCTCAGATGAAGCTTCATGGTCCCTAGGGGGCCTTTACATCTCTGAGAGTGATTTCAGCTAATTCCTTGTCAGCTCAGTGAGGGGCTTGTCCCTTCAGAACCTTCCAGAAAGGACTCCTGGCCAAAGGAAATCGTAGCTTATATGATTTGTGTCCTTCTGGAAGCCCAGGACAACTATGAGAAGGGAACGCTCACTCATACCAGCCTGCAGCCTGCACCCCACAGGTGTCCTCTGCCCCTGCACTGCCTGAGTCCCTCCAGGACCGCCTCCCTGGGCCAGCTCCAGGGCAAGCCCAAGGACCCCTCCCTAATGTCCCTATTCTTCCCCTTCGCCTCATTTCAGGGCCAACCTCCTATGAGGGCAAAGGCTGCTTCTTAGGCAGGTTGATAAGATTTCCCCATTCACATATACACAGCTTTAAGAACGAAACCAAACTCCAAGGAGAACAATTTAATTTTCACCCCTGATCCTCTGTGGCTGGCTTGCCCCTTCCTCAGGCCTGCCTCTGCATCCCCCACAACAGCGAAGAGCCCTGGCTTCTCCTGGCTTTTTCAACCTCGCTCCGACTGTCCCTCACACTTGCTTTCTCCCTTCCTCTGCAGACCTGGGGGCTCCTTCACACCCAAGAGGAAAAACAACTGCCCTTCTCATTCCTCTCTCTCCTGCGCTGGGTCTTAGCCCTCCTGCCTGGGCCCCGGCAGTGCAATCTCCTTGATAGTGAGTGGCCCCATGCCCTCGGGATCCCAACTCCTGGAGCGACTCTGCTCACCACACTCAGGGACCCCTCAAAGCTTCGGTCTCTGCTCTGGAAGAGAGCACCCCTAGTGAGCACCTCCAGGAGGGTGGCTGGAGCCCAGGGGTTGGTGGCCCCATCTCTCTGCTCCCCCTCCCTGGCCCTTCTCTCTAGGCTTCACCTCTGCCCAGAGAATGTGTGGGCTGGGCTTGGGTCACAGGCAGGAAGGAAAGAATCTAGAAGTCATAAGGCAAAAGTGGGGGACCTCTGCCAACATGAGGCAATGATGTTAGGGGGTGCTCCACGGGGGCATTGACCTTGGGGGAGTCAAGGAAGACTCCAGGAGCATCTGTTTAGATTTTAGGGTGAGATCCATTATGGCTGGGCTCGCAAGTTTCCAGGTACCTCTTTGGCAAGACTTGCTCATCTCCATACTGAGAGCAAAAGGCCTTTCCCTGGGGCTGCCGGGCTCATCCAGAGGAAAATGGGCCTCCGTGTTGCCTGCTAAACCCCCCTCCTCCACCACCGAGAGGGCACGACTTGCCTCTCCCCACTGTGTGTCTGGAAGCCTCTCCACCCCAGAAGTGCAGGGTGTGGTTGGGACCAAGGACCTCATCTAGCGGGGCGCCTGGGTGGCTCAGTCCTTAAGCGTCTGCCTTCGGCTCAGGTCATGATCCCAGGGTCCTGGGATCGAGCCCCGCATCGGGCTCCCTGCTGCACGGGAAGCCTGCTTCTCCCTCTCCCACTCCCCCTGCTTGTGTTCCCTCTCTCGCTGTGTCTCTGTCAGATAAATAAAATCTTTAAAAAAAAAAAAGAAGAAGAACCTTGTCTAGCTTGAACCTGCTCTGCGGTGTCCCCGCTGAGTCCTCAAACATCAAAGCTTCTGAGGGTCACAGAGTTCTGCCTTGAAGAGAGAAGGGCTGTTTAGCAAATGATGTGGAGAATATTGATTATTTGAGGAAAATTCAGCTAAGAGCCCACCTTCACACCATACGCAGTGATGTAAAAAGAACAAGGCATAGGAAAATATCGTCAAATACTTCACTGTTTTTGTAAGCATAAAAGCCATGGAAAATATAACTGAAGTGAGTGCTCCACCAATTTTAAAAAATAAGTTAAAAGTGAAATCAAGCTACATGTTAAAAAACTGGGAAAATATGTGCCTTAAATATGACAAAGGGATGTGGCTATTATGAAACGTGCAATTGTAAGAATGAGGTCAGTTGGGCGCCTGGGTGGCTCAGTCGTTAAGCGTCTGCCTTCGGCTCAGGTCATGATCCCAGGGTCCCGGGATCGAGTCCCACATCGGGCTCCCTGCCCAGCGGGAAGCCTGCTTCTCCCTCTCCCACTCCCCCTGCTTGTGTTCCCTCTCTCACTGTGTCTCTCTCTGTGAAATAAATAAAATCTTTAACAAAAAAAAAG